GGGGGGGGAAGCAATCGCCCCGCCCCTCTATCCCCCTTATTCTGCGCCTGCAGATGGTGTGCAGTTGCCTAGATATTTGCGAAGTGTGCAAAGTTGGCACACTTCGTGAATGTTGAGTTTAAGTTCGGCACCGGAAGTGTGCAAAGGTATTTCCACATTTGCAAAGCACGCCGATTGGTGTGCGCCTTCCTACATTTGTTTTACCAGTGTTCCCTACCGCATTGTGGATACTCCCGGTGAATTTGAGGATACTCCGTGCAACACACTGTGACGTGTCTCAACGCGCGGGGTATGTTCTCAGACCGAGCGAGCCAATGGCCCATAGGCTGAAAGTCGCCTTCTCCCTCCACTTTCTTCATCAGTCCCCTTCATCCTTTACCACCCCTTCCACGCAAAATTGGGCTCGCCCCAGCACATTCATAATATCGAATACCACTGATATTTTCAATAATCGCTAGTAATTTTGATTTCTTTGGAGCAATCTATTCGTCAATATTTTCCGTTTGTGAAATTCGCTCTTCCTGCACTGAACTACATGCGCGAAGATAGTGTCGGTCTGGTTTCACAATTTCTAAAACCATTCCTGGACACATTTTCTGCCGTTTGTTAAAAGCCTGGAATATTAATTTGTGGACGAAAAGATTAATTTAGATTTTGACATCGAGTTCTTTCAGCATTTAGCCTGGACTACATCATCGTCTGTCGTCTGTAGCAATCCAAATAACATCGCGCCCTTTTAGTGGGGGAGGGGCACCGAATTTCAGTGGAGGTGGAGGGCGGCTTTCTCAGTCTACCAGGTGGCTGATTCACGCCGCGCACTTTTGTACTATGCAACCTGCCCGCACGGCTCCATCTGGGACTGCATAACCACCAGGCGCAGGGGACCGGCTCCAAGCGCCAACGTGTCGCTCCACCAACCACTGATGTTGCAGCCAACCCACAGGGGCGTTACAAAGGGGTTTCTTACGGTTTCGCGCGGGTTCCCGCGAGCCCGCGGGGGTAATGCGCGAGTCCGCGGTGGTAACTCGCGGGTCTACGGGGTGACTCGTGGACCACGAGCTACCCCCGTGGCAGGATCCGTGGACGCGAGCTGCGAGCTGCCCCCGCGGACCCGTGAGTTAACCCCCACGGACCCGCGAGTTAACCCCGCGGACCCGTGAGTTACCCCTGCAGACTCGCGAGAACCCGCGCGAAACAGCTAACAACCGAACAACCCCTTTTTACGCCCCTAGGTGTTGGTTGCAGCAACAATGGTGGAAGTGGTGGAGCGATGCGTTGGCGGTCCCCTGCGCCTGGTAGTTATACAGTCCCAGATGGAGCCGTGCGGGCAGGTTGCATAGTACAAAAGTGCGCGGCGTGAATCAGTACCTGGTATATACTAGATGGTCGATGTGCTGCGCCGCCGCCACGTCAAGTCGCTGTGCTGGTCAGGTCGCCAGGTCCTGCCGCTCAGCTCTGGTCAGGGTAGGA